TTGAGAACCACTGTCTCAAGAGACCTGCAATTTCTTGCACTTGGTGAGGCCATGGGTCCCCTCAACCAAGCGAGGCCCCAAGAGAAACATCATGCTCCTTGGCTCCCAATATCAACATGATTTTATTCATATTTCAGAATAATTTAGAAATGGGTCCAGGCTAGAAATTATTTTGGCTACTGGACAGATTTAAGAAGAAATGGTGGACCTAGCTGGTTTGGCTCAGTGGATAGAGCATTGGCCTGGGGACTGAAGGGTCCCGGGTTTGATTCTGGTCAAGGGCATGTGTCCAGGTTGTGGGCTCAATCCCCAGTAGGGGTCATAAAGGAGGCAGCGAATCAATGATTCTCTCTCATCATTGATGTTTCTAATCTCTCTCTCCCTCTCTCTGCTTCTCTGAAGTCAATAAAATATATATTTTAAAAGAGGAGGAGGAGGAGGAAGAGGATGAGGAGAAGGAGGATGAAGTACAAGAATAGGATACCAGTTAGAATATCTGGGTTTTTTGTGATAACTGACATCTGAGAGCTAGTTACTCTTCTCTGAGCCTCAAATTCCTCACACCTCTTGTTGTCAGGATTAAAAATAAAATTCATGAAAAGAGGTTTTTAAAATATATATATATTGTATTGATTTTTTTTTTTTTTACAGAGAGAAAAAGAGAGGAATAGAGAGTTAGAAACATTAATGAGAGAGAAACATTGACCAGCTGTCTCCTGCACACCTCCTACCAGGGATGTGCCCACAACCAAGGTACATCCTCTGACCGGAATCAAACTCAGGACCTTTCAGTTCACAGGCTGATGCTCTATCCCCTGAGCAAATCGGTTAGGGCCATAAAAAGAGTTTTGTAAAACGTAAATTACTACGTAAGTATTATTCTTTTTTAGTATTTTATAACTAATAGCATGAAGAATGTGCTCAGAGAAAAAATGATATATGAGGAAGACACAAGAAAGATGGACTTACTCCCCAGTAGGAGATCTCAGCTTCAGGATGGACAGGGAGACCAAACCTCAAAAAGAATTAAATAAGGGATAAGTCTGTGAGCTGATATTAAAAGCAACCTGACAGGCCAAACATGAAACACGTCTTTCTCAGAAATCCAGAGAAGAGACTCTGAGAAAGATCTTCCCTTTTCTTTTCTGTTGGCTTCCAGGAATTTATACCAAAATAGTGATGTCCCAGAATAAATAAGTTTTCTTCTCATAATTAAGCCAGAGGTTCTGGGAATGGGCTGAACACAAGGCTGAATTCATTACTGAGATTGCTTCAGGTCCTAAAGAGGTGGTCCCTATGTGTCATCAAAAAATGTTTTGCATCTAGACAACAGTCTACATATATTTACAGATTGACATTTTCTTTTTCTCTGCACTTCATTTGTTCTCTGAAAGTCATGGGCCATGGAAAGAATTTCAATGCAACACTGTCTACGGAAGGAGCTCATTAGATAGGGCCATCTTTGAGACCATTCAACATAATGGGTAGTGACTGAAGAAAGTTGAGAGCCCCTTAAGAACAGGAACCTTAATGTTGGACCCGAAAAGTACCAAATGAGTCAATGCCTTGGAAGTGCCTCCTGCAGGCACAGTGCTTAGCTCTTGCAAGGAAATCAGTAAATATCCGTGGAATGAATAGCATTGTAACCAGGTCTAATAAACTAAAAAAATGTCCCCTCTTGTACAAGTGTGTTTTCCTTTTGTTCAATTCAGGCTACCCAATATTGGCTGCAACTTCTTACATAAAGTGGACTTATAGTCCCATATTTTCAGGGTCTACACTGAAGATAACCCATAGCATTTTTATGGCACATAACAGTTGTATTATTTAATTGAATCTTCACAACTTCAGGAGTCATGACTGTTGCAGTAATCCAGGCAAGAGATAAAGGAAATCTAAATAGTGAGAGTGACAGTGGGAAGAGGAAAAGTGGGAAACTTTCAAACCAGGTTTCTGGTTCAGACACCTGAGTGGATGATGATAATGTTTACTGAGATATGCAGGAGGTACAGTGTTGAGGGAAAATATGATGAGTTTAGTTATGGACATGCCTAGTTGTAGATGCCTGTCTATCATCCAGGTGGCAGAGTTGAGTAGACAATTGGATTACAGGTATGAAACTCAGAGAAGGCAAATTATTTTTTTAAAAATATATAGTTTATTGATTTTTTACAGAGAGGAAAGGAGGAGGATAGAGAGTTTTAGAAACATCAATGAGAGAGAAACATCGATCAGCTGCCTCCTGCACATCCCCTACTGGGGATGTGTCTGCAACCAAGGTACATGCCCTTGACCGGAATTGAGGAATCGAACCTGGGATCTTTCAGTTCACAGGCCGATGCTCTATCCATTAAGCCAAACTGGCTTGGGCAAGAGAAGGCAAATTCTTGAACACCATAAGCATATAGCAGTAATAGAAATCCAGAAAGAATGAGCATTAGGAGAAGAACAGTTTCAGGGAAAAGGATCTGACAGAAACCAGCAGCAGAGGATGGAGGAGAAGGTGAAAATGGACACAGCAGAAAAAGAATAGAGGTTAGTATGGAAGGGGAAATGAAGTCCAGTGAAAGATTTTTAAAGAGAGGAAAGACATGTTTAAATGCTAATGGGAAAGGATAAAATGAACCTGCTGGGCAGCTCTGTCTCTGTCCATGACCATACCTGGTCACTGCTTTTACTTCTGTCTTTCAAATGTAGAACAAGTCTCTCTGTTGACTCACTCTAACTCAGAATTGTACAAAAATGAAATTCTAGAAAATGTAATTCTCAGTTCATCCAAGTTTGCATAACACAATCCAACACAGTCCATCCCTTGTCAGCTTGATATCTACACACACTTCTGTAGACATATATAACTTCCAAATAAAAACACCAACAAGCCCATGCTTTTGTATAAAAAAAACTCAACTGTCTATACTGTACAACTGAAAATACACAAAATACTGATAAGAGGATACACAAAATCCACATTGTCCACTCTAAAGGGCAAAATTTTGCCATCCACCTGGCACTAAACTGAGTCTTCAAAAGGCTACTGCATAATTCAATCAGGTCAATTACTTCCAGGTGATGGGAAGACTAGTGCTTCACCACTCATTATCTGTAAAATAAGTTCTGTAGTTTAAAAAAGAGAGAGACTGTATGGATATCATGATGATGAATAAGCAATTCTATAAGTCTATAGATGGGGGAGGGAGGCTTGAAAGAAACACCATGGGAAGGAAAGGCAAATCTCTTTCCAAAAAAGTATCTGTTCTAGTAAAAACAATGCCCTTCCACTTCCATGATGAAAATAGCCCAATGTAATCAGCCTGATGCCAGGTGGCCTGAAAAGCAGTGTCAGACCCCCAATTAGTGTTGATCTTCGCAGTCAGCAGTTGGGGACTCGGTAGAGTAGCTTTAATTAATAGACAAGATGACCTGTTTTGTAGATATCAGTCAGCCTCTTTCACCAGTCATCCTGTTCTTGCCCAGTCCACTCATATATAAAGTGGCCATGGTCATCTTGTCTACCTGATGATTAGATCCTTCTCTGGTAAAATTGCTCTCAGTGAGCATTCACCAGGCACAGCAGTATTATAATATTCAGAGGGGACTATCCTCATATCTCTTCTCCATATTTCATTTCCTCCAATGTTCTAATCATCTTCTTTCCAAGTCCATAACCAATCAACCAAACCCTTAGTCATTACTCATAAACTAATGTAATCCATACCTTTAGCCATTTCTCCTTCTAAGCTAATGAACTAACCAGGTGCAATGGTTGGAGTTTGGCCCACTGTGAAAATTTCTCTTTCACATTTGACATTTCAGTGGGGGTAGAATGCTGTAGGGTAGGTATCCAATTTCAGTTCTGCCAACATTTTTGGTGGAAATACCTGTAAATTTGACCAGTTTTTTCTCCCTTAATCAGATGATCATAAAGATTTCCCTGTGAGACCACAGAGGCAGATTGAAAGAGGAAACCCAATGTAACAGGAACAGCATTTATGGTAATATGAGCCACTTATTAATGAAATTTACTTGTGAATTCAGGACCTGCTTGAGCTGATCTCTTACATATCATTCCCATTTGATGGTGTTATCACAGAAGTACATAATAATTTACTATTATTACTTATAAATTTACCACAGGCATACCACATTCATTTTTCATTATATTAAGTTAGTTTTACTTATTTATCTTTGGAATTTTATCTTTATTGTTAGGTGTATTACAGATATCCCTCCCGCCATTGACACTCCCTCCCCACTCCCATCTCCTCCCCAGGCCTTTCCCACACTTGTCTGTCCATGGGCTATTCATATCTGCATATAAATTCATTGGTTAATCTTTTCCTGCCCCCTCCCCCCCGTCAAGATTTTTTTTTTTTTTTAATGTTATATCTTTCATTTATTGCACTAACCATCCAGTATCCTAATTCATGCTATTTCTGAATTTAGGTCATATCTTCTGGAGTTTGTCAAACTATTTAGTCCTCACTACCAGGAATATTTTAGCACCAGGTGGCAGCAAAATCTGAGAGCTGAGATAAAATTTCTTGGCAGGAAGGTAAACAACTAATTAAGAATTTATCTTAAACCTCAAGATGGTTAATAAGGAGTAGCAAATGCATCTCTTCCCCACTCCTCTTGTTTTTATTTAGACATCTCCCTCCCTCTCATTTTAGTGAGTGATTATCCAAATTGCACATACCCTTCCTGCTACCCCCCATTCACTCACGTATACCTTTGCAAACACAGAGAGTACTTCTCAGCCAGCCAAGTGGATTGTCCTGGTGCTTAGCTTCAAATGGACAAAAACTAGGACAGCCCAGAGCATAGAAAGTCAACAGAATAAACCAAGGTGGAGTCTGTTGGTAAAACCCAGGAACTAAAGGAACAGAGAACAATTTCAAACACCAACTGCAAAGGGCCAAAAGCAGAACCAAAGTCGGGTAACTTAATGAAACAAAGAAGAGATGTAAAGCAAGAACAAGTAAAAACTAACAGTAGCTCACCTTCTGAGGTCAGCGAGGGTAGGTGCTTGCTTGGTCCTTTCGAACTGGCCTAAGAAGACAAAGAAATGCTTTCTTCAAAATTGTCTCCAACTGTTGACTACATCACCCCTACAAGATTCTCCATTCTTTAGGGGGCTGGCTAAAGAACAGAGTTCTGGTATTCTTCTCTGCTTTACCCTGAACTTGCTAGGGAATCCAAACTGGCTGTTTCGAGCTTGAGGTAACTTTCTCATCAGATGAGAGTTAGTGCTCATCTAGTCTTGCCCGAGGAGATGGTAGTGATTTGGGATGGCAGGTTCAATTTGCGCTTATTTAAGAAGCACTGCCTTAGTCACTACAGATTTTATCTTGCTAGAGCCTGGTACTTAAGCTGTCAAATTGGATCAAGATGCATACTTTTTAAACACAGATACAAAATCATCTTAAAGTCCGTGAACCAGAGTTTTTAGTTGGAAAGTAACTCAAAATTGCCAAGCAACATCCTTTCAGATGCTTCTTTCATCATCATGCACTTCCAAATAGTATTTTTCAATAATTATGTTTTGTAAGCATTTTATAAAAAACATAGGTGTTAGAGCTTTTAGGCATTCTCAATCCTTTTTCCTACTTGTTATAAAGATTCACAATTCAGTCCTTGGAACATGTATCAAATTCTCAAATTAGATATCATCATTTGAAGAATCTCTAAAAGGTTTGAAAGGGGATTTATTATAATCCTTCTCTAGTCCTGAAGCTTTCCACACAACTGCATATTTCACTGTATGTCTGTAAAATTAATGTTCATGTCATATGTCTAAAGACAACAACAGTCTTTGTTCCATGGAGCGTTTCAGAAGATTCACAGCTGTTAATAGGTGGGAGAATTCCAGCTTTTGCTCTTGGAAAGAAAGGAACTTTTGTGGTCAGTAACTGTGTCCCGAGAAGTAGCTAGTCTTGCAAACCAAGAGGTGGACTGTCTTCACAGAGTGGGTATTTGTGGACAACTAGCTACAAGATGGAATCAAAGTAACCCATGCTAAAGAGTTGCTAGTTGCCAAGAGAAGTCTCAAAGTGTCCTGGTGTGATTTCCATGTTCCTGAGGCTTCACCTCTGGAACCTGATTTAGCAGCATGGTCAGAGTAGATTCCTCTCTCTCTCTCTCTCTCTCTCTCTCTCTCTCTCTCTCTCTCTCTCTCTCTCTCTCTCTCTCTCAAACAGATATCCACTAACACGTTTACTTACCAGGGGCTTGGATCCTCTGTTAAGTATATTCTTCATCTATAGACAAATCTACAAGGAAAGCCTAATTATTACCAAAAGTCTGCTTCATATAAGCATAGACTCAGAACGAGGGGAATTAACACTAAAGTCCATTATTTAATAACATTAGCTTTGAAATATAGCCCCAAAATCTAATGAACAAAGTAAACTGATGAATAAAATAGATCCGGAGACAGAAGAGTAGAACAGACTACAGAATCTCAGAGGGGAGAGAAGGGAGGAGGGTGAGAAGTGATCAACCAAAGAACTTCTGTGCATATATGCTTATCCCAAGGACACAGACAACAGGGTAGTGAAGGCCTAAGGCAAGGGATGGGAGCAGGCTAGAAGGGATCAATGGGGGAAAAGGAGGACATATGTAATACTTTCAACAATAAAGATCAAAAGAGAAAAAAAAGGAAGAACTATTGCCCAACACACTTGTCTCCATAAGGAATAAGACAGAGGAAATCCCTCACAGTTTGTTTATCTAGACTTGATCTAATAACTTTTCTAGTTCTGACCTCTTATATTCCACTTCAACTTGATAACTTGATTTCCATCTTCTTCTGGTGCAAATGGAAAAATAGTAGAAACTCAAAGGGTCAGACCAACCATAACAGCAGAGAACTGTGGCTCAAGATATGTGAGCAGGAAGAAAGAGTGACATTAGTTGCTCTGCATGACTTTGTTAACATAAAAACATTGAAACCTGTAAAGCATTTTTATGAGTTTATTTGAGCTAAACTGTTGACAATTCCCAGGAATCAGAACCCTAACAGATTAAGATGCTCCGGAGAATGGCAAGTTTCCATCTATTTTTATACATTGCAATCAAAGGAGGGGACGTAGGTGGGTTACATGACATCCACTGGTGATAGTTTAGAGAGGCAGGAGAAAGCAAAGGTGGGGAGGGCATGGGATTGGATAAAAAATAAAATGATAGACACACATTTAGGTGGGCGCAGAACAGTCAACAGTCAACAATTAACATGATAACAATAACAATGAAGGACCCCAGGGGGTCCACAAAAGTTACCCAGACATTTCAAGGGTATGTTATCATAGACTCAAAAAGACAGATAGGCTCAGTTAAGGTAAAGGTTGGCCTTGTCAGTAAAGATACCAGCCTACGACGTAACTACCCACCACAACTGCTTTAAAGTTTCATTTCAGACCATCCTTTGTGGTGACTTTAGGTCTCTGAGTTTGCAAGACCGCCATGCAGGCCTTCCCTGAGCTTGTCAGGTTAGCATGTGGCTCCTTTGGTCTACACTTTAAATCTCTACACCTTGATATATCCTATCTCATAACATACAAGAAACACGGGCACTGTTTAGGGTCTTCTGAGACATTTTGAGACATTTTAGAGTTGAGAAGAGGTGTTTGAACTCTAGAAACAAGCATATGTTCTGATTTACTAAATAGAGAAATGTTTTGAGCCTAAAAAAAAAAATAATAAGTCTAACATAAACTTTTGGAAAGGTTTAGGCAGATTGTCGAGCATAGAAAAGAAGGCAGGGACCCCTAGGAAGCAATACGAGTTCACTACAAATGTATCAGCCATTCCTCAGACAAGGACAGTAATTCAGTTCATAGATCACGTGCTAGGCTGGGTTATTAGCAGATATATATACTTATTGGTTTATCAGGTTTAAGACAAAACTGAAATCTACAATAATAAAAGCATAATATGCAAATTGACCTAATGGCCGATCAGTGGAACGACAGAATGGACAACCTTCCAGACAAAGCCAGGGCTGCAAAGGCCTACCCTTGCACAAATTCCGTGCACCAGACCTCTAGTATAAATAATAAAATCAACTCGGTGGTATGTGATGTTCTTTCTGTGTTCCAAACCAGTTAACATAGCAGCAATTCTTTGTTCTTTAGAAGTCTGGGTAAAACTGTAGTGAGTCCATCTTGACTAGGGGACCTCCTGTAGTCACCCTGAGGGCAAATTTTTAGTTCTGATAACATTGCCTTTATTTGGAACATCAAATTCTTTCTGAATTCCCTCCTGAAGTTCACTTTCTGTCTTCACAGGTTGAAAATTATTGCCCTTTGAAGAATAAATTTAAAATTTTTTAGAAATACTCAAGTCTATTAAAAACAAAAACAAAAAGGTAAACTATGATCATCTAGTCAATTAGATGAGGGGGTAGGAAAGTGAGGAAGGCAAAGATTAAGAGAATATATATCAACTAGGAAAATTGATTTACTTGGGGGGACGGGGGGCTTATAAATTGGCCCTAAAACAATCTCTAAACAGAGTTTCTTTTTTTTTTGCTTTTGTTTTGGTGTTTGTTTGTTTCATCACCATTGCCATGTACAATAGAATCATGCAATAAGCATCATAAGACTTAAGCAAAACAATGGGGTTGGGGCAAAATATTCAAACACTTTGTTAGTGACAGGTAAAAATAAATAGAAACATACTAAAAAGGGTAGTGCAGGGTCTTTTAAAAATATTTTTATTGATTTCAGAGAGGAAGGGAGAGAGGAACATCAATAATGAGAGAAAATCATTGATCAGCTGCCTCTTGCACACCTCCTTTTGGGGATTGAGCCCAAAACCTGGGCATGTGCCCTTGACTGGAATCAAACCCAGGACCAGCTCGCAGGCTGACATTCTATACACCAAGCCAAACTGGCCAGAGTGAGAGTAGTGAGTTTTATACCTGTTAGGTGATTGAGAAGTTCTTAATTCTATCAAAAATATGGGACTTTACCTTGAAAAAGACCTGAAGTTTGCTTGTGGAAATGGCATCGGAAGGGTTTTAGTTTGTGAGTTACTATGAAGTGCAGGAAGGAGGGTTGTCTTTGTGGTGGGAGGAGTTTCAGGGAGTCATCAGAGTGAGGCCTGCAGAGTTTATCAGACCAAACAGACCAAGCTTTGGCCACATGAAGGGAGGGCTAGGATCTGGCTGGGTATGTGAGGAAAAAACAGCCCCTGTGTTAGAGCCACCAACTCAGTCAGTCTGGGATTCTGCCCTGACTTCCTGGAAGGTTTGAGCTGAGCAGGGTGGGCCACCACAAGTTCAAGTTGGGCTAAACAGGGCTTTTTTGTGTGTTTGTTTGTTTTGTTCAAGTGGAAGGGAGGGGAAAATGGAGGGGGAGAGAGAGAAACATCAATGTGAGAAAGACACATGGATTGGTTGCCTCTTGCAGGAGCCCAACCAGGGCTGAGGATTGGACCTGCAACTCAGATACATCCCTTGACTGGGAATAGGACCAGTGACTTTCATTTGGTGCACAGGCTGATGTCTAACCTCTGAACAACACCAGCCAGGGCCACAAGGCTTTTTTAATGGAGGAAAATACTTTTTAATTTTTAAAAATATATTCTTATTGATTTCAGAGAGGCAGGGAGGGGAGAGAGAGATATAGAAACAACAATGGTGAGGGAGTATCATTGATCAGCTGCCTCCTACACACCCCACACTGGGGATCCAGCCACAACCCAGTAGCTACACTGACTGGAAATTGAACTGTGACCTTCTGGTTCATAAGTCGATGTTCAGCCATTGAGCCATACCAGCTGGGCTACGTTTGCATTTTTAAAGATTATTTTGCTTTCAGATGTTTAAAAATGCAAGCTTAAAGTGATAAGAGAGATTGAATATAGGAAGATACATAGACTTTTCTTTATCTTCCTTTCTTCTAATCTAGCAATGTAATCTGAGTATTAACAATATCTTTTAATAACAAAAGAGGTTTCACTCCACTTCAAGTACATTTTTATATGTATGATTTTTAAAAATCAGGATTACAGACTTTGTCTTCTAATGTTCTGATAGGCTCTGAATCTTACCTCTTTTATTTAAACTTAAATTGAATTTTTAAAACACATAGGAACAAAGGTTGAGGTAGTTTTAAGTTTGTATCTTTTCTTCAATACTTTTGAAAACAAAATTCAAACTTTAACACGAAATGCAAAAATATTCAGTTACCAATAGATTTATTTTTTTATTCTTGTTATGTTATACATGACTTTAACCAAATTTTAAAAGTTAGAAGATCAGCAATATACCAGAAAAAAAATGCATGAAATGTTATTTTTTCAATATACCTTATGCATGCATATTTCCTCGGGGGCGGGGGGGGGGGGGGAGAAACATTTCAAATACTCTTTACCAGCAATTAATTGAATAAGAAATTAAAAAATAAGAAAGGATCTTTATTTATAATTTAACCTTCTTCAAGGAAGTTTAAAGATGACTTATAGAACTACATATAATTCAACAAGGTATTTTTTAATATGTTTTTATTGATTTCAGAGAGGAAGGCAAAGGGAGAGAGAGAGAAACATCAATGATAACAGAGAACCACCTATCAGCTGCCTCTTGTACGCCCACCACTGGAGACCGAGCCCACACCCAGGCATGTGTCCCTGGCCAGACTCGAACCTGGGACCCCTCAGTTTGCAGGCCGACGCTCTATCCACTGAGCCAACCCAGCCAGGGCTCAACAAGATATTTTAAAGGCAAAAAAGGATTAAAAAATTAAATATGGGAAAAGTAAGCCAGGGCTGAAGTACTGTACATTCATGCTTTGATGTTCTGTGTACTTGTTAACTTTGACTTAGGCATCTAACAGACATCGCAAAGAAGGACATAATCAGATCTGTGATTCATAAAGTTTTAAAAGATAAAGTCTATTTAGAGGAGCAACATTCTAAAAAGTCCAAGCATGGAGAAGCTCAATCATCTGCTAACCTAAAATATTTCCTGGTGGTAAACTGAGCTGGTATTCATCAGGAGTACCTGGAATGCAATTCAGGCCATTTCACTCCTCTGCTCTGAAAAGTTCAGGATTTTTCCATTGGCTATAAATGAACTATAAACATCTTGGTCTAATATCTGAGGCCATCCTCAAAACCAAATCAAGATGAGTTCCTGAATGCAGACTGCATTTCTTATTCAATACCAGTGCCAGTCACAGGCCTTTGGGACAAAGTAGGTGTCAACCGATGCTCAAAGACAGAGGGACTGCGGATCAGCTAAGAAAGTCTGTGGAAACCTCTCCAGCTCTCATCTCTCTACCTATAAGGCCTTTCCCTGACAGCTCTTCCAGTTGAATGGTGACCAGTATCCTCAAAGTCAGTAACATTATCTCCATCACCATGGATAGCCACAATAGCATCTCTTTGCATTTGTATAGTGCTCTATAGTTGACACAAACATTTTTTTAAATATATTTTATTGATTTTTTACAGAGAGGAAGAGAGAGGGA